ACACGCGAATGATCTATCAGGTGGTTCCATTGAGCTGAAGAGCAGTTTGTCGGACAGGGACCACTTGCCCTCATGCCAAATGGGCAATCGCAAGGAGTGCCACAATATCTTGGTCATGGCAACCACCTGGGGATACTTGGCCATGATCTGGCGGGCGCCACTAAGATCGGCGGCGGGCAGCGGCAGAAAGTAGTCTCGCACAAAGGCCATTGACCCATTCTGCCAGAGACCGAAGCCCGTTGCTAGCCAGTCGGGCGACACCAGAAAGGCCTTGCAGCTGATGAATATTGGCAAATATCGAATCCTTTTTCCAGGTCCAGTCGTCTTTGTACGCTCCAAGACACCCTGCAAACCCTCAGAGGACAGCACTAAAGAGGCAGGGTTCAAGCCAGTCAAATCACCGCTGCGGCATGCAGCCCACAGTTTCAACAGCTTGTAGAAAGCAAAACCACGCGCACACAAGGGTTGCGAGCTGTCACAGACCGCGAGCTCCAGACTGCAGACCATCGCCACAGGAAGCAACGGCGCCTTGCGCGTGGGTGGCGCGCCCATCTCCAGCTCCATGATGAACTGGTTGACTGTGTTGCGCACAACAGGCATCACAGAAAAAACGATCCTGTTCTGGCACGCCACCGGCCTTTTCCATGAAGGATAGACTCTTCAGAATGGCAGAGGGAACGGAGCGAGCTGACATGGCTCCAACCGACGCTCGTGGAGGTAATCCAGCAGAACCCCAACGTGCTTAGGCCATGGGTGCGCAGTAACAGCATGAAAATAACGCCCAGCTCGCTTCCACTCACACACTCTGCTCCGGATAGTCGAGGCACGCGCTGCTCCAATTGCAGCAGCTATGGCTGCATCTGGATGCGTCGCTAAGCGGGTTTGCTCACACACAGGCAGCTTGGCAGATTGCAGAACCACATTCCCGACGCCAGCGGACAAGCTCTTGCTGTTCAATCTCGCAGCGCGTTAGCCCCGAGGTGGCTGCCACGAGGCTCCTGGCACGCCTCGTGGGCCAAAACTTATTGCTCCGAACTGCACCAGACTTCTTCTGCAGCCATTCGCGCGTAGGCTCAGGCGCCACACTGGGAGGAGCACGCGGTTTTTTGCGCTGCAAAACCAGCGACTGTCGTTCGGCAGGAATAGGGCACAGCGCTTCTGCAGTCGACGGGCTTGCAAAAGAGCCCGTGCCTGAAGGAGCTGCAGCGCAGATGCGCAGGCATGGCTCCTGGCTGGTTCTAACGCAAACGGCCCCTGTAGAGCTGCCAGGTCAGCGTCATCCTCAAAGAGGTACGCCAATATCTCGCACTTGGGCAGTTTTGCCTCGCTGTCACCATATGCCGAGCGAAATTGGGACGTATGAATAGCCCATAGTCCCACGTCAGACAGATCCTCTAAGGCCTCGTCCGAGCTGCTTTCAGTCTCGCCGGAGTCCGCAGCCATGAAAAGGCAAAATGCAAAAGCATGGTTTGACAAGCTCGAGGAAATCCCTCTGGCAACCTAAACCTTGCAGCACTGTCGAAAGCTGTGCAATCAAACCAATCACACAAGTCAAGCCTAAAGACGCGTCCCAGCACAACATGTCGCAACACACTCCACCTGTCGCAACACTAGCCGCAGCAACACACAAAGACATGCCGCAGCGCACCTAGTTCCCACTTAGATACACGCAGGCGTGCACCCCGCAGCAAGCGCTGTTCAGAGCACAGCCCCTCAGATTTGTGCCAACTCCTGCAAACCACAAGCATCATGCGGCTTGACACCGTGCAAAATATGAAACCCCTAACAAGCCTTGCCTTCGCAACGCGGTCTCACGCCTTCAGTAATCTACAAGCAGAGCATGCATAAGGTCCCGAAGATCAGTCTTGTCGCCGTGAAAAACCGACACAGTTAAAAGCAATGCAACACATAACGCAGCTATCTTCAACCTAGCCGCCCCTTTTACACAAATGCATCCGAGGCGAATACTACAGACCCAACTCCCGGGAACCTTCAACCAAAACGCCCCTTCCGCAAATGCAGAGGATGTTCCGCACGTGGGAGCACCCTGAAGAGAACTGATTCTAAAGATGCTCCACGGAGTCGATCCCGAGCAGAAGACGCTCACAGCGGTCCGACGCGCAGCGAACGTCGACAGATTGGTCAGTTCCGAGCAGAAATTTGAGGACACTTCACGCGCCACCGCCCCGGCACACTGCGAACGCTGAGAGGGTCGTCAGCGTCATCGGTCGTGAGCAGAATTCCGCGGACACTCCACGCGTGAGCGCCCCGACCCGAGAATGCGTCACTTGCGCGCCAATCTCCGAGGACCACGCGCCAACGAGACGACACGCCGCCACCACTGAGAGGTCATCACTTGCGCCGCGAAATTCGGAGGCCACTCCACAGACCAGTGCGATTTCGGAGTCGGCTCCTACCAGCGGGCCTTAAAACATTTCTAGCTTAGCAAGAGCCACAGGGTCATAGAGCAACCACACGACAACCTCTTCACAACCTCACAACAACCCTACAACCTCAAACCCATCCCATCAACCAAACCACACGCCATCCCACCAACCAACCTCACGCCGCCATATTAGACAACCACCTCCACTGAAAAACCTTTAGCCACGCTGTCGGGGGCCATGCTCACAATTGGAATGTCCGCAACTTGCCTGCATCTGTATGTCAGGGTTAGTTCAATCTCGTCATCTTATCTCTGCGGCCATTGATCTTGTTTGACAGCGTACCACATCTGAACAAAGAGTGGATTGCCATTTCGGGTCGGGAGCGGCCATTGGTGGAGGGAGAAAACTGCTATCCCGCACACAAGAACCTGCGCACGTTCGTTGCAACATGTTGCAGCAAAGAGGCCCGACAACGGCTGGCTGCTTCACAAACCTTGCTTGACAAACTTGCCAACAAGTATATCTCAGCTTGCCAAGACGGCCATGCACAGCAATCCAGGATATCTCATGCGACCTCAAGACCTGCCGTGAGTCCTAGGTTATGGCCTCACGCAGCCCAGCAAAGCCGTAAACTCCTGCTCCTCCATGGCAGGATTCATGCTTCTAGATGCACATGCCCTGGGCAAATCTTTTCCTCTTGTTTCAGCGAGGTGTGGAGATGTGGAAGCGGGACAGGTCTGATGGTCAGAAAAGCAGCACTAGGATGCTCCAGGGAGGAAACAGCATTGCTCGCTGCTCCTCAGCCGGTCTGACATAGTAGGCTCAACATTGGAGATACATCTCTGTCCACTATCAGGGTTTTTACATGCGCATGTAAAACCCTGACATTGGAGATACATCTCTGTCCACTATCATCCACTATCTATGGATGAAGTCAATTCCTATCATGCCCAGTTGTGTCTTTAGGGTTTGACTATGCTGCGTGAAAGGTGGCTCTGAATGCCAAGAATCTGAAGTGAAGACCATCTGCAAGTCAAGCAGAAGCCACGCAAGCGATAGCAGTGTGGCAATGGCCCAGCCAATGATGCCTTGAAAGAGCTGAAGAAAAAGCATCTCGACAGACTGCGAAGCGAACAGGCTCCGCGGACCTTCAGATCAAGAAAAAAGATCAACTAATTTGTTAAAAGTTTTCCGAGAGACTGGGCACAAGTGATGGGCCCAGGGCCCACTCAGCAAGACCCCGGCAAGTCGGCGCCGCGGCATGCCTCATGGGCTTGATGCTTGCTCAGCACCACGAGTTGCCCTCCCAACACCTGTAGAGCGTGTGGATTCAGATCCCTTGAAAGATCCTGTAGATGGGGACATGTTGGCAAGACTTGTTTAGCCACGGAAACTCACATATTCTTTGTCCTCCCAGCATGCTGCAGTTCTGCACTGCTACCATGCACTGCATGCGCCTGGCCGCGGCTGCAGATGCACAGAGCCAGGCGACAAGTTGGACTTTGACCTCAACTTGTTTAGGCTCTCACTGTATCTATGAAAAGAAAACCACCATTGCTTAATCACTTTCCTTTGCCGAGCATCGTCATCCCGGAGGAAGGTGAGCCATGAAGCTCCCGCCAGGCTGTCCTCGCCAATCTCATCCTCCAGGCATAGTTCAATCCGAAGGCAGTGCCCACGAACACTGAAGGAGCATTTACGTGGCTGATGCCGTTCGGAATCCACCTACCACAGTTCACTAAATCTGGAATGCTTCAGTTGATGATTTCACAATCTCTTTGCTAGCAGTTTCGTGGAAGCCAGTATAGTGTTGTCCCTGCGGCGCTTTTCAGAAGTTTTTGCAATGCAAGAACAACAATTCCGCAAGAAACATCTGGAATGCATTGGAATGCGAACCCTTTGCGGACCGAGGATTGTCGTGCTTCGTGCTCAGCACTAGGCTGTCGGGATAGAGGATTCTTGTGAATCTGAGATGAGGTCTGTAGGGTTGGGGTTTAAGATCTGTAGAGTGAAGGTATGTCTCAGGGCTTGGTATAGAAGGTATCGACATGTCTTAGTCACTTAATTAGTCTCAAATCAGAGAGAGACACGCGAACGAAAGTCGATTTGCTTTCCGCCTCGCTTGAACGTCTCCACACTCATAAGTACCGTGCCTGCCATGTTAGCTGTTAGAATGAACATGGCGCAGGTCAGCATCTAGCTTTGCCTGTAAAAGCACCGGGTACAATGCATAAGCCGGCATGGACACCGCTACATGATCAAAGTCCTGAATGCCAGGGCCGCTGACAGCCGCTAACACAAACAAATGATGCTCGAGCAGGGTAGATCTTCCGAGAACGGCTGGGCAAGGAATATCATACGAGAAAGAAATTGAGTCAAGTGCCTCTTCATCTGGCAGCCATGGTTCGGACGCATCCACCATTGCCGATTGAAGGAATCATGTGTCTATTGCTCTTGGTTAATCCAGCAGCTGGTCATCATGAAGCATGGGCTTTCATCAACACGTTCGCTCACCTTCCTTCAGGTGCCGTCATTAGCAGATGTGAGCAAGTACAGCTCGATCGGTTACCGCTGTTGGAGAGTTGCAGTTGCAACAGGTTCGACATTGGAGAAAGGCTGAAGCTGCCAAAGCCCGTGCAGCAGCATATGCAGCACGTAACACCCACAGCGAAATGAATGGAAAGGCTGTGGAAACGTCTGACACTCGGCTGGCTGTAGGCCCCCAGACACTCTTCGCCACGTCTGAAGCGTCCAGGAAGCCTGGTGGAGCTGCCTGTCAGGGCACGTTCTTTCTCGTGGAAACGGCCTAGATATTCAATGATGGCCCTCCCCTTACTGAAAAACCTACACATCCATCGCAGCTGGAAACGTCCTTGCTAAGCACGTTGATTGGCAGAATGCTACATTTGCATGCCTGTGGGCCGGCCGAGCCATCTGGAGCCCACGCAAACTTCCTCTCCTGGAGATCCAGATCGACAGAGAAGGACTTAAAAACTTCCCAAGCTTGGCATCACACTTCTTGTGACACGCATGCCCTAAGGAAATAGAGCTGTTTACGAATCACAAAAGCCTGCAGCTGCCCACTGAGCATCTTGATAAAGCAATGGGCGCCTTGGCCATGCACAAAACGAAACCCAGTCCAGAGATATCTCCATGCAGACTTGCTGACTGCAACAAGAAGCGGCAAGTTAAGCTCAGCAAGCGTCTTGCATCAGCATCAATCCTACTCGGAGCGCAAATGCTTTCTTCTGTCTGCCAAGACGTGAAGGTCTAGATCTTATCTGAACTTCATGAAGCTGACGAGGAGGCCTCAAGTTTGCCGAACAGGGATCTTGGATGACAGACTTTGCTCTTAATTCGCCTTGGCCTTCTCCCCCTTCGGGGTCCAGGCACCAGTCAGGCCACGGAACAAGCAATCAAGATAATCCTCCGCACCCAACCCCCCCAACACAAATCCATACTACAACCAGAACGCTTATGACGCAACCTGATGGTAGACTCTGGAACTGTATCATTTCGTCCCCAAGACCACTTGCTATCGTTTTGAGCGAGGTTGCGCACCCAGCGCTACACTCCATGCTCTAGAACTCTCAATCATGGCCCTTTGGAGAAAGTCCAGGTTTTGGAGGAGAGTTAGGCTCGAATGGCTGGATCATGGCTTCGAAGAAGTTTCATTGAAGTCTTGGAGAAGGGTGAAGGGTTTTGGAGCAGGGTTAGGATTTGGTGTGAGGATTATCGGAAAGGTCAGATTAGAGGGTTCTGGAGAAGGCTTTGGCTGGTGGTGAGGGGTCAGCATCTTGGATAAGGTCTGCACAAAAAGGTCACATGTGACGGTTGCTGGGATCAGCTGCGACTCTTCAAACAAGCGAGTCAAGAAATTTGCCACGCACTTCAGTTAAAAAACTCGGAGTCACTTGTGACTTCTCCTGGTTTGTGGTCAGGGTCAGGGCTGGGGGCGACACGGTCAAGGGCTTAGGCTTACAGCTTCTAGGGTTGCGGGCTCGGGGTTCAGGGTTTAGGGCACGAGGTTTAAGGGCTGGGATTGAGGTTCACGATTGAATTGAAGGTTTAATGTAGACAGGTTATGCCATGTCCGGTGCTGAAACTGCTGGCAAAATCACGGTCCAGAAACATATTGTTGCCAATCCCATGATGACAGGTCTGCCATGGCCTGCCATAATTTTTGTTTGGGTGGCGCGCTGATGGGGGAGCAGCCCGCACAGATTGCTCGATAGTGGCCTGGAGCACTCACCCGTCGCGGATGTCAATGTGGATGATCGTCCAGCCCGGCATGCCGGGGTCTTCTGTGATGACACTGTCACCCCGGTGGGGTGCGCGGACGAATTGTCATCATTGCGATTGCTTGGAAATGGTCCAAGGCTGGCTTCGCTGCAGGAGATGTTTGACTTACGCCACAAGGCAAACTGCGTGCAGCTTTCACTTTGTCAAGGGCCCGTGCAAGAATCGCGCGCGCCGTAAATCAGCTTTCGCGCATGGAGCACGCGGCGCACGCGGTGCAATTTGGTAATGAACTTTATGGGTTGTCATTGTGCGGTCATCCTGATGCCAGCAATGCGCCACGATCCACGGACGCTTCCTTGTGCTTTGCGGAACAGATGAACTCGGCACGCGCCTGCACATGCAGTACGTTTGGCGCACCAGCTCCAGGACGCCGCGGCCAATCACGAGTATGATGCTCTTTGCCACAGACTCTCGTGGCTTGTATCCTCAGCCACGACCCTTGCCTCTTGACTGAAAAGAGCGCCAGCCCATGCGCACTGCGTTCTGCTTCTCCCTTATTTCTCAGACATTATTATGCCATCCACTGATACCAACCATCGCGCCATGCCCAGTCAGCATCACCTGCTTACTGCCAGCGAGGCTCCCAGATCTCCCAGGTTGATGGTACCAGCACAGCGATGGCTCAAAGTTAGGCTGCTCCAGTTTGTGGTTAGTCGCATGCAGGCTCCGCTGAAATGGCTGCCCGCCATATGAGCTGGCAGCACTCCCCGCTGAATGATCTGTCACTGGTGGCCGGGCCATCGGCCCTTGGTTATTTCTGTGCTGGCTTGCCTCCCCTTGCCAGCTCCAGCGTCGTGATCTTTACTGATCTAAGAGGAGCTTGACCTTGTGATCCCTGACCATCCAGGACTCATTCACACGTTTCCCTGCGTCGCACGCAGAAGCTGGTCATTGTCTCACACTTCTTTCAGCGCAAACGCTTGAAATAAGCGCGCTGGATATTCCCTACCTCTGGCAGAATCGGCTCGGATATTGCACCCTGCAAGTGGTTTCAGTAAGCGCTGTCTGGAGTTGACAATCGCTACGGGCCTTCTTGTTCGTAATCGACGCTTTGGCGGATCCAGCCAACTGGCTTGCCGACCGTGGGCCCCACAGATACCGTCTTGCCACTAGGTTGTCTACGCACAGGCCGCATAGGAGTGCCGCTGTGCGAGGCTCTGACAAAAGGCGGGATCTCCATTCCATGAATTCCATGAGTTCCATGAAAGAATCCGTCAGCCAGGCTTCTAGGGCCTTTTGTGACAACCGTGTTGCTGTGAGCGCCGAACGGTTGGGACGCGCCGTGCTTGGCGTGGCCCTTGTTCCCCAGCCTGAACGTAGTCTGCCCTCCCCCTTTTTACGGGTGGACACTACTGCAGACTCCACATCATTGGACCTCTGCTTCTCCATCCCCACCATAATGGGGCCTCAAATTTGCATGCATCCTTGATACTTCCCCCGCCACGCAGATGCATGTGTTTGATTAGTTTCTGGCGTCAATCAACGCAAAAACATTATGAGCCCGTGCTATCTGGGGTTCAAGCTCAAATTCAATCAGATGTCACGGGGCACAGGAGGGCCCAAACATGGAGAAACAGACGTGACAGGCCGTTGAGCTACTGTATGAGTCTGTACCAGGGTGTTATAAAGGGTTGTGAAAGCTTTACGATTTTGGACAAACGGCGGAGGCAAAAAGGTTTGTTTTCTAAAGGCAAACTAACTTTAGGCTGCCTAGTTCGTTTTCCGCAATAGAAACGTTTGTTTCGAAACTTGCCAAGGTCGGACGTAGAGAGGGAGGGAGGGCCCGGGGGGGGGAGGGGGAAACAAACTAACTCAGAAACTTCGGAAATGTTTCTTGTGTGAAGAAACTAACGTTTTCCCGAAACGTTTGTTTCCTGGGCAGAAACAAACCTTTTCCGGAAACATTTGTTCTTGGGGAGAAACTAACGTTTCTCGGAAACGCTTGTTTTTGGGAGCAGAAACTAACCTTTTCCGGAAACGCTTGTTTCCTGGGCAGAAGCAAACCTTCTCGGGAAACGTTTTTTTGGTGAGAAACTAACGATTTCCGGAAACGTTTGTTTCCTAGGCAGAAACTGACGTTTTACGGAAAACTTTGGGTAGAAACTAACCTTTTCGTTCAAAGTTAATTAGTTTCCTCTTGAGGGGGAGGGGCCCGCAACGTTTGTTTCACGGGCAGAAACTAACGTTTTCCGGAAACATTTGTTTTCAGGCCGGAAACTAACATTTTCTGGAAACGTTTGTTTTACGGGC